TCTGAGATATATCTGCTTCCTCTTAATATAACTCCCTTACAAACTTAAGCCAAGAACTTCATTATGTAAAACTGCATAGTCAATAATATATGTAATTGAATAAGTGTAATAATTTGGACTGCTGACAGGTTTTGCATATCGATTTTTCCTCAGCAAAATAAGACTGAAGGGCAGTGAGTTAAATCATCCTCAGACAAATAAGCAAGCTACAGCAGTATAATGAGTTATTAAGTACTCCATCTGCTAAGCAGTAAGAAAATATCTGCATGTACTCCTAACCATGGCAAAAATGACATAATTCAGTTTTACTTGCAGAAGTAAAAATAAAAAAATAAAAGTAAAAATACCTTAAATAATAATGCTGTGAGCCCTTGCTCTGTACCTATGCCTTATTTCTTCTGTTTGTATTTCTTCTTCATCGTAGACTTAAGCTATGCCCTTTCTTTTGTCGAGAATCACAGTGGGTCACATCTCAATTTCTATATAGGATGTTGAAGAGAGATAAAATGTGGAGACAGTCCTCTAATAACTGCTTAACTTCACGTTTTTTTCCATCACTGAAGGAGCAAAGCGGGGACTGCATGTCCTATATTCATTATCTAGCTTCTGAGCTAGGGAGAATGTGGGTGGGAAAAGGGAGATCCTTGGCTTTGCCCATGGGCAGCTAGCCACTACTGCTGACTCTGAATGTGTGTGATAGTTTTTGCTCCTGCCAAAAGGGAGGAAAAGAGAACGTGCATTTCCTTCCCCAAATCCCACTTGCAAAATAGAAGGAATAAGAAAGGAAAAACGGAAATATCTGAATTTTTGCACTGTTTTCCATCCATCCTTTTGTGAGACAAATGAAAAACTCTTCTCACATATTTCATTTTTGGGGTCGTTTAGCATAACTATGCTTCATTCTAGAGAGAAGAATTTTTGTATGTTGTACTAGAAGAAACATGGACTTGGCTTATGTTGTTTTTATGCTTTCCAGCTTGAGATACTACTGTCTAATATGAATTCTACCATAAAAATTCAGTGATGCAACACTTCCACAACAAACTCTAGAGGTTAAACTCAGCTTGTGTTTTCTGGCTGAAAACCAACATATAGGTTCCTTAGTAAGAGAGTGGGAGATGAATTGAAGAAATTGATGCAAAGGGACTTAACAGCAAAAGTTTTATCACCATTAAGCAGATATTCATTGGCAGTGCTGGGGTAACATTGGGATAATGCTCCAATAATGTGCCCCCAATTGATTGTTTGTGAACAGATTCTATTTTCACATGTATTATATATTCATTACATAACCAAAATCATTATTCTGTCCACTCCCAATGACTGCCCAACAGATATAGCCTTATTTGGTGGTCTTTGATGTCATCTAGCATTCTTCTAGCACTGTGATGGTTTGTTGTTGGTGGTCACCTCCAACACAACAGTCTCTACCTTTAACCCACTGATTCACCTTCCACAGTTGGCTCATCTCCATGTAAGACAACATGCAAAGACTCCCTGTGTCCCAAAGGTTGCTGTAGAATGCTGGGACAACCTGCAAAAGTCTGCACACACAGATAAGGAAAACAAAGGGAAACGTCTTGATGCTGTATGTCACATTTTAGATAAATTCCTTCTGCTTTGTGGATTCTGGCTTCTTTTGATGTTGATAAGTGATAAGGATTCCACAAAACTGCTGCACAGTTTTTCCATTGCTGTGTGTTTCTTTTGCCTTGTTAAAGCAGAACAGTCTTATAACCTGCCTCCCCATCTACAATGCTACATCACAGTTATCACCCACAACATCTAAAGGATTCTATGGTGTTGCAAGCAAGCATTAATCATATTATACAGCAATTCAGTGGCTATGCTTACAAGGTATATTATCACAATATTTTGTGTAATTACTTCTTCAAATCAGAGGAAGAGGGAGATTCTACAGCCCTATCTCTATCTTTGATGTGTATTTTAATTAAATCTGTTAATTTGAGACATTTCAGAATTAGGATAATATTCATTCTCTCCTACTGATGTGTGATATTTTTTTCCATTTCAGATTTATGAGAATATCATATAATATTCTCAATAAAAAAGTTAAGGTCCAATTCTAATTACTGCTTGTTTTTCTTTAGTTTTCAAGGATATACCTTACTCTTGCAAGATAGTAGGAAAGGCTTAGAGTTTATAAAAGCTATCATCCAGACTGCACCCTTGACATCACAGTGACCTCAGTTAAAATAAGTATTCTCTTCTTCTCATCTCTGAATTTTGTTCTCAAATGTCATGACAACTTGTGATCTTGACAGCTTGATGAATACAGAGTGCCTTATACACAGATTTATAGATGAGTCAAAGCCATTACCCATCTCTTAGACCATACTGCAGATCACAGAATCACAGAATCACAGAATTGTAGGGGTTGGAAGAGACCTCCAGAGATCATTGATGTATTTTGGTAGGTCCTGGGAACAGCACTTACTCTTACCCAGGTATAATTCTGCTGCTCTCAGTCTACAACCTCATCTCCCACTGACTTTGGTAGGCATTTTCAGTGTGTAAACAGAACAATAGTTGGCTCTGTATTTAGGGGAAAACAACCTCCTTGGGGAATGATTGGATCAGTGGATGTTAGACACCTAATCTGTTGGCTAAATTAACTGGCTAGTCTTCCACAACTCCTTATATAATTGATATACAGATAGTGAGATTTGCAAAGCAACCAGGTCTGCTGGAGGTGTCCCTTCCTATAGCAGGGGGTTGAAAATACATGATCTTAAAGGTCCAACCCAAACCATTCTGTGATTCTACGATTCTATGATCCAAAGCTGTGTTTCTCATCTACCCTTTCCCCTGCCTTTCTGATTACACAAAGAATGGTTTCAAACTTTCTAAGTGCCACTCCTTAGCAGCTTGTACTTTTGGTAACCAAGCCACACGTTCCATACTCACAGAGTTATTAGAACTGATTGATCTGCTTCCTTTACGGAACAGCAAATCAAAGGTAGCCTAGTGAAACAAAGGAAGCAGAGATCATAAATAAAGCAAAAGACGGGGTTAGAATAATTCTTATGGTTGAGGGAGAAGCTGCAGGTAGCATGAGTATGTGATTACCAGGGCAGGAGTGTGTGTATGTGTGTGCCAGGGGGGGAGAAATATTACTAGAAATAAAAGGCAATTAACAATGAAATGCTTTACAAGAGAAAACCCATTATTAGAGTGTGCGACAAGAGAATGCCCAAGTGATGTGACAAGAGCAAAGCCAACCTGAAATAATGACCACAAACGATTAATTAAGACGCATTGAAGGACTGTTGCATACGTTTTGAGGACATGCCTCATCTTTGTTCCCAGGACACAGAAATATTGAATCAGCTCCAGGTGTTTGGTCATGCAGCCAAATGACGAATACGATTCTGTCCCTTTTCTGCTAACCTGCAAACTGCTTAAGACAGAACCCATTGTTATAATTGAATAAGCTAGAACAAAATTAAATACAGTGCTGCCAGTGCGTGGAATTGATTACATAATCATCCTTATACAGGATGTACCAGAATCATTTACTTGTTTCGCATTATTATTCAAGCATCAAGAACTGATAAAGAAAAGTTAAAATGGTAAAATCATGATAGCTGATTGCTGTGTATGAATAAGATGTCCTGCTTGGTTTATAAATGGGACAATTGCTTGTATGCTTTCTAATGTTTCTTTTACATTTCACTTAAACACTAAGTCTGAGAACAAATAAATCTATGTAAATGGTTGTACCATAGACCTATATCTATAAATACCTTCTACACATTTGGATGTTGAAATGATGTGACTGTTTCTATCCCGTAAGTGGTCAGGTAGTAATGGCAGCTTCAGCAGTCCTTAATAACTGCCTCCCATTTCTTCCTCTGTCCTCCTGATGTTTAGGCAGAGATGGATCCACAACACTTGTTCACAAAGGATCTGATCCAACTGTTAACAAAGGCAGGGGAACAGTCTCGTCTCCAGTACAGATTTTGCATTAACACCACTTAGAACTTTCTGTGTCAATCTTCTGTGATTTTCTGGGCATTCTCACCTAACACATTTCATGTATTTAAGACATTGGAAATATTTTTGTCTTCTTCCTGGTTATGTTTATGGGTTTTGTTTTTATGTGCTTTACTATATGCTGTCAGGAAAGCGGTGTTCTGTAGCTTACATAATACAGAGTTATGTGTAGAGTGTAAACATTTACTTTTCCAGGATTGAACACTTCCATGGTCTCTGGTGACTGGGGACAGTGCTGAGCTAGCTGTGATGGCACTGGACATTTCTTCCCATTCTCTTAATGCTAAAAACTCTTCCAAAATGAACAAACCAAACAACAACATGAACAAAGCATCTATTACTTATTACCGAGCTATCGGGGGAACAATCATGATATTTTTCTGTGCTTCATCAACACCTTCATTCTTGTTCATCGTGCGCTCTGCCTCCATTTTTATCCATCAATACCCCTCACATTGCATTTTTCACTGCAGGTTGTAAACTGCCCAAATTAAGCCATCTGCCTTTACTTACCTGAGATAGAGGAGGATTTAGGTTGCATATTAGGAGGAAGGTTTTCAGCCAGAGGGTGGTGAGGCACTGGAACAGGTTGCCCAAGGAGGCTGTGGATGCCCCATCCCTGCAGGCATTCAAGGCCAGGCTGGATGTGGCTCTGGGCAGCCTGGGCTGCTGGTTGGCGACCTGCACATAGCGGGGGTTGGAACTGGATGAGCATTGTGGTGCTTTGCAACCCAGGCCATTCTATGATTCCATGATTCCAACATAGCTAGGGTTGGAAGGGATCTCAAGGATCAGAATCTCCAACCCTGGCACAGGCAAAGCACTTTTTCTGGCTTCAAGAAGCCCCCGAAAGAGTGTTTTGTCAGCCCTTTTTGCTTCAGATCCCTTCCCCAGTGCAGTCTTAGATGCTCTGAAGCTGTTCTTCGTAGAGAGAGCTTGCTCTTATTGCTAAAAGTCAAGAAATAGGGATAGCAATTCTCTGAAGAATAGTGTGACTTTTATTAAATTATCATTTTAAAATTCTGAAAGACCTCAAACTGAAATGGTATGATGCAAATGATGATCTTGTGTCTGAGATTCAGTTCTCTCTTGGTGTGCCAACAATAAATCCATACAATGACAGCAGTATTTAGGTGCTGGCAGGTTTCAGTTCTGCTGTCTCCTTTTCTGCAGGCTTGAAGCTGGCCCTGCTGTTGGTCCTGCAGCTTCTCCAGCTTCCATCTAAACTCTGGGAAGTGCTGGGGAGGCAAAACAGTACTCAGAAGACCTCTTGGCCTCACTCTTCCACCAGCATTTCCCCGCCTCTGTTTGAAGGATGTTCTTGTGCATGATTGCCCCTTTCACTGGTGCCAGCGTGCAGGAAGAGGTTACAGGTGGTTGCTCTTCAGTTTCACTGCCGGACTTGTTAGTCTTGGGCCTGTTTAGGGACACCAGGAGCTGCTGGTACAGACTTTCCATAGCGAGCATGTCCGATTTCTCAGTGCTCCTCTTGTCTCTGAGGCCAGAGTTGAAGGGCTGGCAGGTTTCAGTTTTGCTATCTGCTTCTTTCTCCAGGCTCAGAGCTGGTCCTTGGGAGGGTCTTGCTGCTGCTCCTGGTTTCTTGTGCACTTTGGGAAGTGCTGGGGAGCGCATACGCCAAAAAAGCCTCTTGGTCTCGTAGTCCCACCGGCGTTTTCTCTCCTCTGTTTGAACGAGGCCCTCCTGGAAGACCATCCCTTTCACTGGTGGCTTTGTGAAGCTGGAGATCTCAGATGGCAGGTCTTCAACTCCACCGCCTAGCCTAGGACGCTGACTGAGCGTCCTGGGGATCCCGGGTGCCACCAGAACCTGCGGGCACTGGTCCTGTCTGGGAAGCCTGCTGGGTTTCCCCACAGAGCTTGTGGTACCAGTGGCAGAGTCCATATGAAGAGAGGGACATAGAGTGCGCAGCAACAAAGGCCAGGTCTTTCCTGACTGGATGGGATGGGGCAGGATGGGATTGCCCTTCCATCCTGATGCTTGCTGCTGGGAGCAATGTGGCTTGCACCGGAGGCTCCTGTGCCTGCCTGCCTGCCTCTCAGCACCTGTAAAACAAGGAGCAGGTCTGAGCCACAGTAGGGCAGGGGGCACCGGTGATCTTCCAGGCCCACCCGGCCTGGCTGCTACATGACAGAGACTGGTACGAAGCTTGGCTTCTCCCAGGGAGCTGGTCCTGCCTGCGAATGTGCCAGGCTGACCCACAGGGGACTCACCTGACTTTGATACCACCACTTGCAGCCACCGCGTCCACCATTGCTGGCGCCGGTCAGAACCCTACGGACACATGAACGTGGCACAGTTCATGAGGACTTGCGGGGCAGCCCTCACCCCCCACCCAAAGCCCTGAGTCACCTAGCTCAAGTGACTCCCACCCTCAAATTTCCCTACCTGTCGGCGCCAGGAAATGGTGAGCAGAGACACCCCAGCCACCAGGAGCAGGAGGCTGGGGATAAGGAGAAAGCTGTCGACAACCATCGCTCTAAGCTGGTCACGACCACATTGGGAGAGACAAAGTGCTGGCGCTGGCTTACATGGGCAGAGCCATGAGATCATAGTCCGGCGGGTGGGGATAACTCTGTGATGTCACAACCCCGTATGGAAGTAGGCTGGCAGTAGCCCCCAGCATGGGGGTGGGGTGATTTATGGACATAACTTGTGTATAATCAAAAAATACATACAATTGGAACTTTAACAACAAGTGAACACATGTACCAGCTTGCAGACCATCCCTGAGATGTGCTGCTGCCATCCTTACTTCAAACACATCTTACTTCAAAGAGTTAGGCACAAGTGAGAATGGGAAAGTGGTTTGAGTTTGCTTTTAGTTCTCACTATCCCAGTTCCTTTTTAATGGATAATTAAATGAATCCTCTTCAAACTGAAACTGCTTTGTGCAGAGTTGTACCTGGTGTGTGACCTCCCCCTCCTTAGCTGAGTTGTTTCATCATATCATTCACCCCACCACTGTGAGGAGGGTAAGCAAGAGAGCAGTTGGAGGGGGGTTGAGGGGGACCATCAAAGTCAGTGCCCCTACTACTTCAGGATTCTGATAAGCTATCATTCCAGGCACTGGTATAACTGCTTATCTTTGAGCAATGTAGATCTAGGTTCTTCAGGACAGCCTCCAGCAATATAGACAAAAAAGGCATTTAGTAACTCTCCCTTCTCTGTATCTTCTGTTATCCAGGACCCACCTCATTCACCAGTGGGCCTACATTGCCTCTAGTGTTAGTTTTGTCTGCAGTGTATTTGAAGAAGCCCTTCCTGTTGTCCTTGACAGCACTGGTAAGGCCACACCTCAAGGACTGTGTTCAGTTCTAGGTCCCTCACTACAAGAAAGACATTGATGCCCTGGAGCGTGTCCAGAGCAGGGCAACAAAACTGGTGATGGGTCTGGAGCACAAGTCCTATGAGGAGCGGCTGAGGGAGCTGGGATTGTTTAGTCTGGAGAAGAGGAGGCTCAGGGGACAATTTATTGCACTCTACAACTTCCTGAAGGGAGGTTGTGATGAGGAGGGGTTTGGCCTCTTCTCCCAGTCAACAAACAGGACCTGAGGAAATGGCTGCAAGTTATACACGTGGAAGTTTAGATTAGACATAAAGATGAACTTTTCCTCTCAGAGAGTGGCCAGGCACTGGAATGGCCTGCTCAGGCAGGTGGTGGAGTCGCCATCCCTGGCAGTGTTCAAGAGGCGTCTGGATGAGGAGCTATGAGATATGTTTTAGTAGCTTGTGGTAGCATCCACAATGGGTGGATGGTTGGACAAGATGATCTTATAGGTCTGTTCCAACCTTGTGATTCTATGATTAGATTTATACCTTAGTGATGTTTTCAGTGCTCTCTGAATACTCTATGGACAGAGTCAGAGGAGTTTATAACGAAACAGGAAACGCACTATGTGTTAACATGCCTCTTAATGAGCTTCTTAAAATGCATTTCTTTTCTTTGTTTCCTCCAGTAGACCATCAGGTCCCATGGGCTCTAATAAGGAGTTGTTTGACTCACCACTGCCGCAGTTTCCAGGAGAGATTATAGAATTTGCACACTGAAAGAAATTGAGTTATTTAATTCAGTCATTTCTCATTTGCAGAAGATTTGAAGGAGTAAACAAGTAATAAATGCCTCTCGAGTGCATCCACGTTGGCGTCACTGTGGTTACATCAAAAATGAATTTGGCCCAAGATCTGTTATAATTTATCTCCTACGATTAAAGTGCCTTATCCTTTTAGATAACTCTATAAAGTATAAGAAAGCAAGAATAGAGGGAGGACAGAGTATGAATATGAAGTGGCAGCTTTCTTCTGAACTCTGTTACAACTCTTGCTTGGAAGGTGTTTAGCTTCACTCTTACCATTTCTTCTGTTTGTTTTGCTTTGTTTTGTTTTCCAGCTCTTAAAAGCTTCTTAGCCACAAAGCTACTATGAGACCTAAGTAATTCCTATCTGTAAATGCCTTTCAGAGAAGCTAATATAGAATGCAACGTAAGTTCTGAAACTGCCAGTCATTTAGCCATAGAGCTTGGTTGCTATTTTCAGTAGTTCAATGCCTGTTTTGTTTGGTTTATTTATCCTTTTAGAAATAAGTCCAAATTCTTATCTAATTGGTTAGAGAGCTGTTCACCTCAGGTTCAGTCTGAGTAAGTCCCATTGAAAATCTTGCTTAGCTCTGCTGGGATCTCTTTAAGTTCAAAACACAACCCCGTAATAAGAGACTGTTAGAAGGACTGCGTCCCATTTTAGTCCCAGTTCAGTACTGTTATGAGTTACGCTAAAAATTAACAAATGAAGAAAATGTTTGTTCCCTCCTGCCTCCATTTGTGGCAGAAAAGACTTGAAGTGCTGAATTTATTTCTGGGAAACCTTCATGCTCAAAAGACCCGTTACCAAATCCTCTTCTCATCTTCTTCCATACAGCCAAATACTCTCTGTATTTACAAAGGAACACAAACTCCAAAGCACCAAAAAGACACGCCAATAACATTTTTACTTTATCTGTATCCATGGCAACTAATAAATGGCACTGATCTTTACAGATGTCTTCTTCACAGGCCCGTAAGTCTCACAATGGGCCAAATATAAACTATCTATGGGTGGCAAAAGTGGCAGTGGACTTTTTAACCACACAGCATGGGAAGATTCCTTCTTATAGCAATGGTTGAAAGCCAGGATTCACTGTAAGGCCCATGGATACCAGTGAAAAATTAACGTACATGTAGGTTTTGCATAGAAAGTTTAGAGACATGTATGTCTATCCAGTTGCTCCACTAACATGGAAAAAATATAGCCTTATTTTTTATCTGAAACAGTTCAGAAAGGTTGGATACCACTTGTACTGCTCCATCTTGTCCTTACTTAACTGCTATTCATAGGCAGACTGTGTGTGTGAAGGATGGGATCTGGCAGGAGACGGAAATGGTTTGTGGAAATACACATCTTTTTGGGTCTCACTCCACTGTTTTCTTCTCAACTAATTCTATAGCCATTATTTTTCCTGCACTCTTTCCAGAAGTGACTTGATCCAAGTGACTTAAGGATGAAGATTAATAGCACCGTGATGTACGCAAAGCCTTCTAGGCACTGTGGTGTAGGCTGTCTTTTCCCTTCTCTCACAGCTTAGAGAATTAATGGAAAACAGAGTTGATAAAAGCAAGTGCCTTATCTGCGCTTCTCCTAAGGAAGGAAGGAAGTGAGTCAGACGTGGTGGTGGGGCAGGATGATGATAACCATCCTGGCTGCCACCAGCAATGAGAGGAATGAGGGATGCCAGCTGTTCCTCCAGCAGTAACCCATGATCTCCCACCACCCGTGTCTTGAGTGATGCCAGATTATCCGCAGCTGGCGAGCTTGGCACTGGGTCAGCTTTTGGCAGCTCGAAAGAGTTGTTCTGTCCTCCAGCAACACCAGAATAAAATCTCCCAATTTTCTGAGTAATTTCACAACGTTTTTTTGGCATCCAGAGTTGCAAAATGGTGACTTTCTCACAGAAACCGACCCTTTTTAAAGAAAGTTTTTCTTTAAAAAAGAAAAAAAAAAAGAACCCTCTCAATTTCCCAGATAATTGGCTTTTTACTCTTCTGCATAATTAGATGAAGAAATGTTCCAAAGGTTTTGCCAAACGGAAGTTTCTCTTTAAAACTCTTCAAAGCTCACCTAAGGCCAATTGGTTGGCAGCACTTAAAGGATTTTGGAGATTTGCTTGGATGAGGTTTTCTTGGCTGGTAACAATGCAAGAAAAGCAATAAGCGTGAGCTTAGAATAAATATTCCGCGATTGTAAAGAATTAAACAGCTTTAGGGGAAGAAAAAAAAAAAGCTGTAGATACTTCTAATTATAGATAATAGCTCCTGCCATTTAGAAGCTGATCTTTTCTACGTATAAAGTATTTAAGGAAAAACAACAGTAATTTGGTACTAGCCTTTCCTGCTGAGGTGCGAGATGGAGGCAATACGTGGGCTTTCACTGTCATGAGGAAAATAGTTCTGTGGTGGACAAATGAGAAGATGTCAGTTTTCTTTTCTTCTTTGAGACTGCATTGATTAGTGTATGTGGTTGTGTTTATTTGTTTTCCTAACGTAAACAGCAGGAATAACGTTCTGATTGGTAATTTGTGTGGCTCCTAAGTTAGGATACACCGAGGAGGTGTATTGAAGTTCTTGAAGGTGTATTGATGTTCTTTGCATCATCTTGAATGATGCAAAACATCCGAACCAGGTGAAATCCCTCCTGTTGAACTCTAACAAAAAATATTAGCTTCTGATTCTAGATTACATGATTTAAGCCTGGCATTTAATCTCCTAGATATAAAGCCAGCTATCTCCAGCTCACCTTTTTTTTCCACTGCTGTGCTGTAAAACTCATTGTTGTCATAGAGTATTCCGAGTTGGAAGGGACCCATAAGAATCATCAAGTCCAATTCCTGGCTTTATACAGAACCACCCAAAAATCAGACCTCATGTCCAGGAGCATTGTCCAGCGTTGTTATAATCAAAGAAAACCCATTGTCTCTTTTACTTTCAATTTTAGTTTTTAATCCAATCTGGGATTACCTTGATAGGTGAGAAGTGAACCGTTTCAGATCATTTTATTTTTAATATCTGTTTGACAATAGTGCTGCATGCAGGAATTCTTGGATCTCTGAAAGTATAATCTTATAGAGGGTCTGGCTCAACTGATGATGTCATATTGTAGAAATTATCACCATAATTTATACAGTTATCAGCATATAAATGATAGACTTTAAATATTCACAACTTCGTCGCATAACTTGATAACCTAATGCCAGATCAGTAATTATCTAGAGAAAGGCAATGGAAAATGTTAATGCGGGCAAACTGTTGGTAAGGTTTCTTATTCTTTGTAAACAGCCCTCATTGAATCGCTTGAATTATACATGTGGAATTCCTCTGGACTTTAAAAAGAGGCTGTTGAATCTGAGTTCTGATTGTGCTGCCTGTCTTGAAAGACAGCAGAGACACCATTGCTTCAACAGGAGCTCCTACAAGATGTATCTGCTTTGAAATGTCAACCAGCTTCAAAGATCCTGGCCTCATACCCAGCTTTTTCTCAAGCTTTTATTTAGTTATTTACCTGTTTGTAAGAACAGAAAGACCTTGTCTGGTGTTCCTTCTCTCCATGAAGGTCCTTATATGTAGTATTGCCCTTTAAAAGTTACTGCACATGACATAATTCAGTTTAATATTCCATCTTGTAGCATTGTGTTTCCTTTGATATCACTCTCCTGAAGACGATACGACCTTGAAGGTGATATTTTAAACTAATAACTGAGAAGAACTGAAACTAAACCTGAACATTGTAAGCCAGATGAATTGACTTTTACCTCAAGCTTTCATTTCTGTACATGAAAAATACACAACTATCAGAATTACGTATTTGCATTTTTTTTCTTAATATCTCAAGGAAACAAATGTTATGGAAATGTGTCATCTATTCCTTTTTTTCATATGTACTGACCCATAAGCTACGAATCTGATTCTGTGAAATGCTTTTGCCCATTGTTCTGTCATTCTTTTTTCACCCCTTCTCCACCCGAATTCAGCCAACAATTTTAGGGCAGTTGAATCATTGCAAGGTTTGATGGAGGTGTAGCAGTCTCAAAGTTGAAGATTTGTGTGGACCTCCATAAAAGGAAGATGACTAGAATCATTTCAGTGCTGAGCTTAATTTGAAAATTACAACTGAAAACTCTGCAGTGATAAAAGTTCCATTATTTTCTCCTTGCTGTGAAATTGCACCTCTCCCTTAGAGAGCTTTTCTTTTTCACTTGTTGTCAAGTCAGATGCATCCTTAGGTCGGTAGGTATATGAGGCAACCTCATCAGATTCAAGAATATTATATTTAAGCTTAGTTGTCCTGAGCTTCACATGAAATCATTAAAAAATGCATATAGTTTTCCTTAGCTGAAATTGGGATTCAGGGGGCAGCTATTTGGGATAAGAATTTTTAGCCTCATTCTATTGAATGAATGAATGAATACTTACAGAGTAGTTCACCACCACTGCCCAACTAAAATGAGATTATTCCTAATGGAAAGTATTGCTACTGAAGGGCTACAGAGGAAACATCATTTAGCTGAGTACACTTAAACTGGGAAGTCTAAGCTGCCTGAAGTTAAACTGATCCTGACTAATTCCACAGTCAAATCAACCACTTTGCATTTCCTCTAGAGCCAAGTGAGGCTCTGAAAGATGGGCTGTGCCATTGGAGAGAAGGTGACCAGCTGAATAACATGAAACATTCTTCTTCCCATGCTATGAGGAGGGTCTAAATAGCTTTCCAAGATCAGATGCCAAGCTTAACATCAGCTGGGCTAGCTGAGATGAATCCTACAAAGTTCAGCAAGCAGATTTCTGTCTGCAGGCTCCAGCATAGACCTAGGAAGGTAAAGCAGAATTTACACTTCCTGCAAGGCATCCTGTATTAAGATCATTTTTACTTATTATCCTTATGCTCTGGCCTACATCAAAACTTATTCTTTAAAACTACGTGTTGGCATTATTTATTCCAAACATGCTAAGAACCAGGAAAATTAGTCCACATGGTGCTGCCTCTTGCTTCTTGCAGTGCCTGAGCCACCTCTTTCAAAGCTAGCTTGGGTATCCCTCCATCACATGGCAATGGAGACATACCATCAGAGCCAGAGGAGAGCCCTACTGTGCAGTTTCACACTCAAATCACACTGATTTCCGTGGGCAGGTTTCACCCAGCAGGAGTTCCTGGCTGTGTTGTGATTTACAAATGTAAGGGGATTGTCCATGCTGACATGTATTATATTCTATACATATATATATTTTGTGTGTGTGCATTCTTTGCTCTTCTAAATGGTTGCTTTCAAATATGGTTTTACCAGAAACAATCAGGCAACTTCCTTACTGACAATGAATTCTTTCCAATCTTTGTCACTTGCTGGGCAAATTACTTGACTTTTTTTTTTTCCTATTTCCTTCTATTTCAATGCCAACACATCAGTGTTTTCTAGTAGAACAAAGTTATAATGCCTTTTAAAATTGGAATATTTTACTTACGCTTGATATTGCCACAGTAGCGGACTACTGTTCAGTCTTCTATGAAATATTTATTCATTGTCTTCTCTTTCTTCTCTGCAGTATGAGAATTTATGCTCATTTCTCTAGATAGGTTTGCAGTTTCTGTTGTTATTTGGTAACAGTAGAATTTTGGAAAACAACTGATGTTAAAGTAGTAATAAAGAATAAGAAAGCTTATTCTAGCACAGCCATTTAAATCAAGTGAGCAAGGCTAGCAGGTGGTTCTCAGAAGATCTCATTAGCCTCTTTGATTGTCTCTAACACCTCTTGTAAGCAAATGTCTCATTACCATAGATATTTACATATGCTTTACTTTCATACAGATTGCCACACATCAGTGAACTACAAACCTATTACCAAAAGTCTTTGGATTTAAATGGTAAATACTATTCCTGCTGTGTGGACAAACGGTAGCTATCAAAGACAGTAAAATCTAACAGCGCTCAATTCGATCTTGATTTCCATATTTAGTATCACTGAACTTTTCAAATCGTAAAAATCATGAGGTCTTTGAGCCTTTCAGAGAAATCCAGTAGAGTCATAGTATGCATACAATGAGATTCTCATCTGGCAGTGGAATCGGTCTGGAATACGAGTGGAAGAAAGATGGGGAGAGGAAAATGTGAAGGTTTTTCTGGAATTTTATATACTCTGCAGTTTATTTTATGTAGCCTCATAATCATAGAATGGCTTAGGTTCTATGGGACCTTAAGACCATCAAGCTCCAACCCCTGCAGTGGGCTGCCTGCCTCCACAGCTCAGGCTGCCCAGGACCCAGCCATGGCCTTGGGTACCACTAGGGATGGGGCACCCACAGCTCTCTGGGCAGTGCCAGGGTCTCACTGCCCTCTGAGTAAAGAATTTCTTCCTAACATCTAACCTAAATGTCTCCTCTTTTAGTTAAAGTCCTGATCTGATGCTACAGCCTTCCTGAAAGAAGGGTTGTATCATACAGATATTATCATACAGACATCATTATAGCATTGTAGTTTGACACTGACCTAATTCTTCAAACCCTGTGCAACTCATAGCTTCCCTATCCACCACCCATGGTAGTACCTGGCTCATATTTTGTGAGGACTTGATTTTCTGCCACTGAAGCTGATGGAAATAAATACACTTTAAAGGCCAGTTCTGTGCATACATTCTCATCCGATAGCAATCCCCTACTACTGACAAAATTGATAAAGCCCACACTGTTTTTTTAGCAGCTGAACACCCAACCTTCATTATATTGAACTTCTCCCAGTCTGAAAATATGACGCTTTGAAATATTATCTGCTTTTATAGAGGATCTTATTTTCTCAGGCATGCAGTCAAAGAGAAAATAAATCAACAGAACCCCACACTTTTCTAAGTAAGGAACTTGCACCTTTTAGCAGTTGGTAAGATTAGATGCTCAATCCCAACATCAAATGCAAAGAACCCTGAGAGATAGTTAAGTGGGCTGGATGATCTTAGAGGTCTTTTCCAACCTTAATGATTCTGTGATCTGGTCTGTCTTTCATTTTCTGTTGAGGTAGAAAATGATCCGTATTTGAGATTTCTTTAATGAGAAATTTTTTTGGACATTAGTAGGAAATACAGGGAAATTTCTGAGCTTTTCTGTACACTAGATAAGTTTTCTAGGTTTATAAACTAGTAAAATGATTTCAGCTTTACACAGCTACAGACAGGATTGTGCACAGAAAACTTGTGGAAAACCAGTCCTAATTTGTCATATTTCTGATGTTTAATACTATTCCTTTTCCTGTGTCCCAAGAGAAAAAAACTCCCATCCCTAACATTATCACTTCCTATTTCTGCATGCTTCTGATGCTAAAATTCATCCAGTTCCATATAATGACTGGAAACTGGAAATAAACATTTTCAGGGCTAGAAATAATAGGCACGGTCCTGTAACAGGAGGTTGGTTGTGTATCACTCAGATCTTTAATTAAAGGCTGATGACAGTAAGCCTAATATTTGAATGATTGTGGAGGGTCTGATTCTGGGTTATGCAAGAAATCCTTTAGCTATTTTGCATTTAAATGCACTAAAGATTGCTGTAAAGACAATGAATGCTGCAGGAGTGGTTCTTTACATTTCTATACTGAGTATTTTCCTAATGAACTGAACAAAATGAAAGAGAGAAGCTTCATTCATGTACATCCCAAAAAACAACTCAACAAACAGCTGTGGGATGAAGCAGAATCTATTCTCCAATTTCCAATCACCTCCCTGGGCCAAATTCCAATAAGTGTCAGTATCCAACCTATGATGGGGATTGAAGTCTGCAGAAATTCACTGAGTTGAAATCAGAGATGTCAGTCAAATCCCCACAGATTTAACACACTTTTTGGTAGACAGATAGTGGCTGTGAATTCCATGCTAAAGGGAGAATTAGTTTCTGACGTATAATGGAGTAATTTAATTGGGACTAATTTCACTTTTTGCCAGAGTGGAGTCTGTCCATTACTGTATGATGCAACTGCATTGTACGTATGCTTATGCTATTCTTATCAATGCAAATTATTTTTTGGGTCAGGGAAAGCTTATTAGAAAGTGATACCGTTTATTATTCTAACCAACTGCACACTGATGGATAGAAGGAAGAACCAACCACTAAAACCATTCTGTAAACAAAAAGAAGGGAGAATTTGCACCATTAATCTTATCTTTTTTGCCTCTCTCTCTTCTATAGGTTGCCCAGGAATGTGGGACAACATTACATGCTGGAAACCTGCAAGTGTGGGTGAAATTGTCTTTGTCAAGTGTCCTGCTCTGTTCAGATTTATCATCTCTGAAGATGGTAAAGTCCTTTCTCCATGTTCTTTGCTTCTGCCTGATAGAACTGCATGGCCAGCAGGCATATAAAGCCTGATTTCAGTTGCTACATTTAAAGGGAAAATAAGCACTGCAGTTGCCTGGGGTTGGTTTGAACTTCTGTTCAAAAGAAAGCAGTAAAAAGACAGGATGTTTTTGTGTAGATGTATGTGCATATGTTGGGTAGAAGGGGGAAAGATGTGTGAAAAAAAACTGTCTCAGTCACCATGAAATTATTGCAAAGTCTAGTAGCTAAACAGGGCGTTCTGCCCTTGGGTGTCCACAGAGATCAACAAGACCTGAGACTGCATGAAGGTGTCAGACAACTAGTCATCGCAACTGGAACCTATATTAGAAAATAACTAAAATTCAGAGCTGGGTTCTGTTCATGCCAAAGGAATGGACGTGCATGAAATGACCAATGAGAGGAGTTCCCATCTTGGAGGCCCAGTGGAGGGTTAGTGATAATTAAAAATTCTTGTGGAATGTTTAAGTAGAGGAGCCCCATCGTGCCTTTTTGTTTTCTGTAGAAATGAGATGTCAGCTTCCTATTGCTCCTTGCAGCAGGCACCAGCAACCAAGCAAAGAAACAAAAGTAAATGAAAGGTCAGAAAATTGCTCAGGTTGCAGCTGTGGTGAGATGGACTGTTTCTGCTTGGAGAATCACAGAATGGCCAGGGTTGGAAGAGACATCAAGGATCATGAATCTCCAATCAGAATGCATTACTGTAAGAATTGTCCCTTGTTAGTTAACAACAAGCCTTTGCTGCTATTTAGCAGTAATGTCCATCTCATCCCAGCACCCATGTAGGCCAGCATAGATCACTTAATGAGCACTTCTCATGGAGGAAAAACGTCATCTTTTTCCTTCTGGGATCCTTTTCCCAAAGATTTATTTTGCCAATGAATTATTCATACAAAATCTTGAGTCCAAAATTCACCTTCCTGGTGTTACTACAGACAGTGCACAATTTGTGGTAGATGGTAAATACTTCATACACAGCTCTGGGCATGCTGAAATCCTCACCTTTAAAAACAGACATTTCAATTCATCTTAGATGGTGAAGGAAACTCCAAAATGCTCTTTTGAAATGGAGAAGAATTTTAGGGTGATCACCTCCTCACTGAACAGACCCATGTGAAACTCAAGTGTCTTCTCTCAATTAGTAGAGTGGACTCCATCTGTAGTCAACGTGGAGAAAGTAAGAGAAAGAAATCAATGGAAGACAGTGTGTTTCACTTCAAGAACATGAGGTTAATTACCATTTGGAGGTAATCTCTCTTTATCCAGCAAGTAATAAAGACAATTCCCTTAAATGGGGCATCATTTTTGAAGGGAGGAAGACAAGTCCCTTTCTAAAATAATGAGTTATAAAAACAATATTATTCCTGTAATTCTGTGTGCTTCAATTACAGTGTGTATAATTACACATAATCTTGACTGCTGCAATATTGGTCCAGTATAAATTCAGTGAGTACAATGACACTTACTGAACCATCACAGTCAACCATAATAGAAAAGACAGCATAGAGCTTCTAGGAGGATTTGTGTCCAACATGGGAAAGGAAATATTCTCCCCTCTTTCACACACACACATATATATATGTATTTATATATATATATTTTTTTTTTCACAGATATATATATAAGTATGTATATTTATTTACATTATTCTGCATGACCTTGTTATCTGTTTTCATTGACTGCTTGTCATTCAGCCTAATTGTCAGACCAGTCTTGGTCATCCTTTGCGCAAGATACACACTCAACCAAAAGTTTTCACAATCCAATTATCAGTGACGTTTGCAGCCTGCAGGTATAATGCTTTTATATCATTTATTGTGCACCAGCAGATGGCTGATTTGCTGTTATCTTCTGATATAACGGCAAGAGACCTGCTGCTCAATGCAATGCCTGACCAACCTTCAATTAGGACCCCTCCTGTTGGGTGGCTTGTGATGTGCTTCCTCTACCTGTCCTCAAGATAGGCATGGTAACCTAGGCAGCACTTTTCATTCCCTTTCTTTCTCTCTTTTCCTTCCCTTTTGGGGTTCAGTGATAAGAGATGTCAGTAGTTTGAGAACACGGAGAGATGCCATCTGCATCTACAGCACAGGAACTCTTTCCTCTCTGCCAATCTACACCTCAGCTGCAGACCTTTTTAATGACTCTCTTTATTCCAAGGGATATTTCACAGGATCTTAGAATGGCCTGGGTTGAAAATGACCTCAAAGATCATCTGGCTTCAACCCCCCTGCTTTGTGCAGGGTCACCAACCAGCAGACCAGGCTGCCTAGAGGCACATCCAGCCTGGTCTTGAATGCCTCCAGGGATGGGGCATCCACAACCTGACCGGTCAGTCTGTATTTCCAATGCTCATAACTATATCCCACCCAAATACAGCACCTTCTCCCTTCTATTGATGAAATTTCTTTTCCGTAGGGCCATTGTTTCTGAAGTAACAAAGGTTTGGAGGGCTCTTGAGAAATCATCTAGTGTATCTCCCTTCTCAAAGACAGTGTCAGCTCAACATGGTCTATTCCAGCATATAACATTTTAACTTTAATATCAGAATATCTTTTCCCATACTTTTTTTCAATTGAAATTAATATTCATTTTAGAAAAATAGTAACACTGTACTTCAAAGAGAAAAACTGCCATAAAAAAAGGCTCAATACGTAGAAGGGCTGAAATCAGGTTTTTGAACGCTTTGCCCAGAATTTCCAGTGCTGTTTGTAAATTGTACCTCACATTTGGCCTCCAGGAGAGTGATAACATGACCCTAAGGGAGGAGTAGTCAGTCCAGTGTAAATATATGTTCTGCCTTCTTGATCTCCTTGCAGTTTCACTACTAAAAGTGACAGCTGTTATTGGGTTTTTTGTTTTTTTTTTTTAGACATCTGTTCAGTAGGAACAAAACCAAGATTCATAATTTGTTAGATAAACAAATAAACATTTAATCTGGAGTTGTTTGAAACCTCTGCAGACCCAGCTGGATTTGTGCTAGTGACCCCAAGGTGGAAATACCTACATCCATAATCACTCTTCTGGGTGAATCAGGATGAATTTTCAGTCTCATTACTGCTAATTTTAGCTAACCGAGTATATTTGCTTCAATGAGGGCTTAATGAAAAAAGTCACATATTATGAAGGTTCCTTAAATAAAGGGTTATTAGATAATTAAAATGTTTCTAAGACATGGCTAATCACATTTTATAAATCATTACAGTATTCTGTGGCTGCTGCTGTGTTTCTAGAATGTGTAAGTAGGATAGGCACTGACCCCTGTGTCCATTAATTGTACATTCATTCTTAATTCAGCACAGTTTTCAGATGACCAGAAATCGTTTTTACAAACAGTAGCAATGATTCTGATTTATGTTTTTAAAATGTTTGTCTTATGAAGCACTGAAGCAACTGTAGGTGCATCTGCTTGGATTAAATAGGAGAACCACACACAGCAGCATTAAAGAGTTGGGGGAAAGTTATCTCACTTGGCTTTGGAAATCTGAAAATTATATGTGTAAAACTGGTCACATGGACTTCTGGTTCAGTGAGGGAAGTGTTAGAATCATAGAATATCCCAAGTTGGAAGGGATCTATAAGAATCATTGAGTCCAGCTTCTGATAAGTAATTATGGAAGGTATTTCCTCTGATCTGTGTCAAATTTGTATCTTGAGGTGAATGAAATCACTGGAGGAGCCTCTTTGGTTGCTGAATTTCTGAAAGGAATTTGGCTGTCTTGACTTGGCTGTCTGATTTCTGCTTTCAGTAAGATGAAAAAGAAGTTGGACTTAAAAACTAACTGATGAAATTCCAACCCCGTCATCCACAGAGATGCTTTGTTGAACAGTTCAGTGGTTCTAGCTGTAAAGACCACCTCTTGTTGTTCAGGATTTGAAAATATGCTCTGCTACGACTTCACTGCAGTTGGATTGAGGACTGACATTTGAACTGCTGATACGGAAAGCCTAAAGTTAAAATTTCCTTTGGAAATCCCATGATATATCTTGTGACCCTTCCTGGTAACATTTCATTTTAGTTCTCCTTCAAAATAATGAGAATTTTTTATTTCCTTCCAGATTCTCTTTGTGAACAAAAGGATTGTTCTAAAAATCTCTCCATCTGAAAAAGTCATTGTATCTCCTCAATCTTTTCCAATGCAGTAGGTTAAAGATTTACAATGGTTTCTGTTCTGGAGGATTCCTAAATATTGGAGGTTTTTTGTTAGTTGGTTTGTGTTTGGTTATTTGTTTTCTTTTATGTTTTTTTTTTCTCTTCAAAATCCATTTTTTTCCATCGATTCACAGTTTAATTTTCATTAGAAGCAATAATTTCCATCCTTCCATGTTGCTTTTATCAATTATGTTTTCTTCAGCTCCTTCCGAGTGCTCACCCCAGAGAAAACCCCTCTAGCATTAGAGGACATTTTAAGTATTCTAAGGTATCTTTGTAATTAAGAAAGGAAAAAAAGAAATGGGGCAAGCCATGATGTGTAGTTATCTACACTGCCAACTAGAAAATGTTGTGTTTTATTCTTTTCCTTTCTTTATTTATTTTTGCAGGCAGTGGTGATGTGTCTGACAGAGGAAACTCACAGATGCCAAGGCTTTTCCTTCCTTGCCCCTCACAGCTGAGAAATTTTAAACAGATAAAACCTGTACACTAAAGGGCCATTGAAAGAAACCCAATAGCCAGATCAAAAGTTTTTAGGTCTCTGATTTGCAGTAAAATCTTATACAAATGGTAACAGGCAGTTTCTGAGCATTGCCGTGTGCTTCACATTGAGAAGTTGTCTTTATTTCAAAATCCAAATGAATAATATGATTAGCTCCTACAGAATCTATCAAATATACAGACTGTTTATCCAGTGCTCATTCTAGGACATTGCCTGCTACATCCAAAAGAGCATGACTGACCTTTGCTGGTACCAGGATTAAGGCTTCTAATTAAAATTCAGTGAAATAAAGAGTCCATCCAGGTA